TTTTTTCTTCCCGCCTCTCCCGGGCCGGAGCGCAGGCGATGCGTGTGGGAGGGCGACGGCGGCCCCTCGTGGCCGCGAAGGGCGTGGGCTGGGCCGCGCCCGGTCCAAACCCGGGCACAGCCATGCAACTGGGCGCACGGTGCCCGGCGCTCGCGCCTCAGGCCCCTCACCTGGCAAACGGGGAAACAGTGCCTACCTCGAAGGTTATTTGAGATTTTAATGACACAGAATGTTTTCAGAATAGTTCGTGGTCGATGCTCAGTGGCCAGTAGCTGCAATAGCAACAGTAGTATTTGTTGTGTTAACAGTAGACCCAAAATGCATAGAAAGTTTCTCTCCTTTTGCTGATTGAAGTGACCCTGAAATGGAAGTTGCGGGATCTGGGAAGCAAAAGGTAGTTCCATGTCCTTATTCGTTACACCAGGAGTGTGCAGAAGTTCAAATAAAATATTTTTGGCTAGATCGATGTTCTGCTCTCACATCGATGTTTCTCTCCCCCCCCTTCCTCTCTCTCCAAAAATCAATTTTTAAAAAATCTTAAAAAATATTTATGGCTAACCACAACTGCAGATTGATCCAAACCAAGTGTAAAGGGAGCTAGATCCCACTCTGTTTAGTTATGAAAATAAGGATAAGTAGAAGGCCTACCTTAATGTAAAAATTTCTTATAAAAAATATATACATATGAAAACATAAAATAGAAATAGAGAATACTAAGTTCGCCAAAAATCCCATTCTTTAATGTAACAAAATAGTCATAGAGTCCATGATGCCAGCACCTGCTGGCCCTGTGCTAGATACTGAGGACAGAGTAGCGAATGAGGCCAAGTCTTTATAAACTTTATGTTCTGGTGGGGAGACAGACAATTCAAAGATTATCACTGGTAAAAATTTTTTGTATACATTTTTGCTATCTATATGCATATATATCTATATATCACACAATTATTCCAACTTGGTAAATATATGAAACATATATAACACATGTATGTGTGTGTTCATTCTATTTACTAACCTGATTTTTTTCCATCTAGACAATATATTACAAACATCCTTCCAAAAAAAAGTATTGCCCTGAAAATGTTTTTTAATGATTGCATAATGTTCCATTGTTTAGATGTACCAAACTTTAGTTAACCAATTTAGTTGTTTTCGCACATTTATTTTTTCATTAATATAAAAAGTCTCCCAGGGACTTCTTATACCTTTGGGCAAATCCTTGACTACTTCCTTAGGACTCAGTTCTAGATGTGCAGCAACAGGGTCAAAGGTTGGGCAAAGTTTTATTATTTCTTCTTACTGTTTTGAGATGACAAAGTAAACAGGTCTCCTACCTCCTACGTTGTGTAGGTTATTTGCTGATGAAGAAAAGGAAGTCAAGGGTTTCATTTTCTCAGGCCTTAGCTCCCTTTCCAGTGCCTTTCGTATTTCATCGTCCCAGCTAGACCTATATAATTAATTCCTTTTTCATCAGTAAACAGTTCAGCTGCAGCACTTGCGCACCACAAGACTTAGAAGTTGCAATTGTGCCAGAACAAATTTTATGCATGTGTAATTGTAACATGAACAACATTGCAGATTTCATGATTCCTTCACCTATAAAATGGATATTATTAAAGCTGAGGACCAAAGAGAAAATCCAGATTTATTTTTCACTAATGTTATCAGCCAATAATTCTTACACAGTTGTGCTTCTGGAATGATCCATAATCATAGAAAGAGGACTGTGGAGGTTCAGATGTTAGTCTGTCATTCCCAGATGCATGGATCCTTCTTTATTTCTCCATTCGCTCTTTTATAAAGTGATCACATCTCTCCTGGTTGTTTGATAGATAAGTAAAACCACAATAGGTTACGGTTGAAATTTCACGGAAGAACATACCTTTCTGAATGTTTTTTACATGTCAATTGCTTTTTTTAAAAAATAGATTTGGATCCTACAAAGAAGGACACAATTATGAGAACAACCATCATTTTCATATGAGTACACCGAAATACTTTTTGTGAACTGTTTAAAACCAGAATTCACTGACTGAGCAAGTCTAAGGAGAACAAAAGTATGTAAGATGAAAAGATGGATGAAAGTGGGAAACTACACACAAAGAACCTCAATTTTGAAAATGTATGGTGTCTATGCAGTGGGAAATTCTATCAATTTATAAAATGTGTTGCTTAATAAAAGCATTTCTCCAAATTGCCTTTTAGTTTTTGATAAGAAACAGAATGTGGGTAATACAAGAAAGTTTCACTACTAGGCACAAAATCATTACAGTGTCTTACCTTTGCAGTGCTTTAAAATAAAGTCATTTCTTGATGAGCTGGAAGAACTATTTACAAAATCAGACAGTCTTAAATCCCTCTTGGGACAAAGCAGAGGGAAATGTTTGAAGACTGAGGCTAATTGTTGGAAGAATCGGCACACACATACCTGCCGCTGACTCAGCAGTGGCAGCGAGCCTCTCACTGTCCTCTCACCTGCGGCAGAGTCACCTGTCCCTTCCCCCAGGCTTATATCACTCTGTGGCTGCACGTAACACACTGTGGTGATGTCTCCAATCAGTCAGCTCACCAGCTGCCAGGGAGCAAATCTCAACACACGGAAGGGTCCCAAGGAGTGAATTTTCTCCCCTAGAATTAAGCAGGCAGGTGACAGGAAAATTCAGCCCAAGAGCACCAGCTCCAGAGGAATAGTGGTTTAAATGCTCTTCAGGGAGGCACATAACATCATAGACCCAGAATGGGCTCTAAATGTTGTTTTGTCTTTGAGGGCAGAGATAAAAATTACAAGAGAGAGAATTTCCTAAGGGTTTATGTCGCAATCTAAGGGAGTTCCTTGGATCTATTTAATAAACATGTCATATTGAGCACACAGCCATATGTAAGACATTATGTCCCAGTGATGGTTTTAAAAATATGTCCACAGATGATTTGGTACTTCCTCCAGTAAGTGGAACCTAATTTGCATCTCTTTGAGTGTGGGCTAGACTTAGTGACTCACTTCTGATGAGAACGAAGTGAAAGAGATGGCGTGTGTCTTCCAAGCTCAGGTGATAAAAGATATTGCGGCTCCTGCTTTAGTCTCACGCCCTTGGACCTGAGAGAAGCCAGCTGCCGTGTCATGAGCAGCCCTGTGGAAAGGAACTGAGGCCTCTTGCCAACAACCACGGGAACGAGCCACCTTAGATGTGCAGCTTCTAGCCCCAGCCAGGCTTCCAAGTTGTTCTTCAGCTCCACTTGACGTTTTGACTGCAACTCGTGAGAGACCTAAGCCAACCACCTGATTTAGCTGCTCCTAAATTCTTAATAGATGATAACTATTGTTTTAAGCCACCGATGTATTGGGGTAATTTACTATGCATCAGTGCTTAGTAATGATACAGCTCTTGAACTTATTCATGTCTGGGGAACTTTGAGAAGCTGGCAACAACAAATATTTACTTGGCGTCTATTATATCCATACTACTGTGCTAGGCAGGTGGTGGTGTAGGAAGTGAAGCTTAACTGAAAAAGACATTGCCCTTATCTCTGGGTTCGAGTTGCCAAATGTGGCAGACAGAAAGATGCTAAGACAGCCTGAATAGTAACTACTGACTATTGACCCTCTGTTGAGCCAGGTGCTTTACCACGTTATCTCCTGACAATATTGTAAGGTTATGCAGCCCAGATGCCAACTGGGGTCTCCTTACCTTTCAGCTCTGGATAAGATAGCCAGAACCCCCATTTCACTCCCTCCTGAAGACTGTCCTCCCCAAGATTTCTGTGAATCGGGGTAGGTTAAGGGTCAAGGTTCATATTTTTATGGTTACCTCTCACTGGTCTCCTCCCACTGTCATATTTCAGTCCATAGATGGTCTCACTTTTGCATTTCTAAATTGGATTATGCTACAATGCAAGGTTAATGCAAGGAAAGAATGCATTTAATGCACCTAGAAGTGCCTGGCACTCAGCAGGTGCTCAAGATTTCCCAAATTGCTGGGGAAGCAGGTCTGCACACAGAAAGTACCGCCTCTGAACCATGCCAGGCAAACATAGAATTTGGTCCTTTCCTTGACTTCCTCAAAACAGTAAAACAAAACACTTCCACCCTGTGTTCCAGTGGGTAGCATGTTTTACTGAACATGTAGAAAGAGGGGGCTTACGTTATAGAAACTCAAGCGTCTTCAAGTAGAATAATTAGCTATCCCCTTGTTTTACAAATCTTGTCTCCTCCATATCCTGTGCTTTAGGAATCTCTTTATCTTCTCTGGTTATCTTTTCGCACCTCCCCCAAATTTCTGTTAATTCTCTACTGCAAATCAGATTAACTATCTCTTTTTCTCAGTCTCTTGTTCATCAAGTTCTTGGGCCCTCAATGGATTGTATAAAGTCCATCCATACTGAGGAATGCAATCTACTTTACTGAATCTATGGATGCCAACACTAATTGCATTCAGACACACCCTAATAGACACACCCAGAAATAATGTTTAGTTTGGGCACCCTGTGGAGACATAAAACTTACCATCAGAAGCACTGAAATCACCTGGGATCTTGTTAAAAATGTGGAGCTTCAAGTCTTGCCTACTACATCAGAATTTGCACTTTGACAAGATCCCCACACAGGTGATGTCCGTTTGAGAGGCCTTGATCCTGGTGGATCAAAAATCTAACGCCCTGAACTGTGAGACTGAGGTGATTCTGGATGTCACTAGATACCTGGCAAAATAAGTAAACAAAATAATACACAATTAATCTTCCTAGGAGGAAGATGATAGAGCTCAAATTATGTCTACAAATAACTTTTTTCCCATACACAATTTCCAGCACACAATCAAAGATTACTGAGCACACAGGGAATAAGGTACCATAAACCATGATCAGCCGAAATAACAGCCAAGGGAAACAGACATAGTACGGCTTCAGGTGTGAAATTCATTAGATATAGACTTAAAAACTGTGCTTCCTGTATTCAAGGATATAAAAGTCAAGGTTGAACAATCTGTCAGGAAACTAAAATGATAAAAGATGACAGCAGATTTGAAAAAAAGAAAAATTCTAGAATTCTCAAAAATTCTGTCACTGAAATTAAGAATTCAGTAAAATCATTCTACATCAGAATAGACAACTAGCAGAAGAACTGGAAGATCGGTCAGAAGAAGCTCAGATGTACAGATGGAAGGCTCCCAGGAAATAGGGACCAGGGTAAAATGCAAATGCATCTTTTAAATATTTGCAAAGACACTATCCTGGTAACATAGAAATAAACACATTTAACAATCCCATTATGCCATCCTACAGTGGTGTGCTTTGTGTAAGTCAAAGTATACACCTTTTACTAGCTTTAACAGAAAGGACATGGATCACTGGAATTACGTACCCCGCTTGGCTGATGGTGATTCTTCCTGGGCCAGCACAGTAATTCACAGCGCCTCGAACCTTCCCAGCCCGGCACACCCCTGCTATTGCTGACTCCTGAGGTACAATAAAAGCCCTGATGTTTTGGGTGGAGGGAGGGTGTGGCTGACCACAGCTCTTCTGATTGCCGGGTCCTTCTGAGCAGACTCATCGGACAGCCTTGGAGGGAGAGGCGAAGGCCTGTGGTAAATTGTGGGGGAGCAAAGATTGCCATTTTCGGATCAGGGGACTGCTTTGGAGACTTTGATAAGGTAGCTGGACTTGAAATGAGCAGTAAACTGGCATAATCTGTCAAGCCAGAAAAATATAACATGCTCTTAGCTCGCCTTATTTTTAAGGTTTCTGAGGAAATCTACAGATCAGAAATTAAATCAATTCTATGGAAATGTGGGGTTCTTGTTAATGATGATGACATCAGAGTTCATACGCCGTAATTCGATCCAGGATGATTGGGAATCCTGGGGACCTCAGGCCCCTTCTGTTCCAGTTTACTTTGCAGAGAAGGATATGTGCACATTCCTATGTTTGTACTGCTTCCTAGCAGAGTAAAGCACTATATAAACATCTTTTGTTTGTTTTTTGCCATCAGGAACTTTCTAACAATATCTTTGTAAACATTTTTCTAACATTTCTGGCAGTTTTTCACTTTAATCCCCCCCCCCTTAAAATATTTAGCTAGTTAGCAAGATGTTGCAAATGGTCTTTGCTTTCTTTTTCCCCCCACATTCCTTTTAAATTTAAGATGAGAATTCATTTGTTTGTTGAGTATGCCCTTAGGGGGACAGGTGTTATGGACTGAATCTATGTGCTGTCCCCAAATCCATATGTTGAAATTCTAACCCCTAATGTAGGAGAAGATGGGGCCTTTGAGTGAGGTAATTAGGCCATGAGGGTGGAGCTGCCATGAACCGGATTAGCGGCCTCTAAGAAGAAATACAAGAACTTTCTGTTGTCGGTCATGTAAAGATACAAGGAAAAGGCAGCCTTCTGCAAATCAGAAAGAGGCCTTCACCAGACCCCAGATCTGCTGGCACCTTGATTTTGTACTTCCCAGTCTCCAGAACCATGAGCAACGCTTGTAGTGTAAGCCCTCCATCTATGGAAATTCGTTATAGCTGCCCGAACTGACTAAGAGAACTGGGTTACTAAGGCAACCCAGTGGCTCTGAACTTGGGGTGGAGTGGTCTGTGGGTTGGCAAAGCAGAACCCTCTGGGGGAAAATGGAAACATCCACATCTCTCCCCCTGCTTTACAGAGATTATTATTTCAAAATATTCTAAGGTGAATATAGTCATAGGAAAAGAAAAGAAATCACAGTTCCAAATTCCTTAATGGAACAAATAACTTAAAGCCTGATGGTATATTTTTTTCTCAGCTGTAGTTCGGGTCGTATCCCTGACTCACAAGGCTCATGGCCCTCATCAGAGTAAAGAACAAGAAGTTGAATGCATTTCTCTTCATCTCCACCGTTGTCGCCTGATGACAATTGACTGCATCCCCAAGCAGGAATGGCAAATATTACAAAAGTTAATAATTGAAAACTCCTGTGGTCAGAGCCCATATTTGCTCTTTGATATAATATGGACAAAACATGTTGCTTTGTAGTCTACAAATTCTTTTCCACCTAGTACAATTTTTTGTTATTCTCACAATCATCTCTTTAGCTAATGTTCTGATTATCTATTATAGTATAATAAACTATGTCTTGGGTTAGAAGTTTGGACAGAGCATGGCTGGGCAATCCTTCTGTCCCTTATAGCACTGACTGCGCTCATTTGCTGGTATTTGGATGGTGG